CAGCAGTCCCTATAAGATAGGAAACCAACTGCCAAAACCAGCAGAAACAGAGCCCAGATCAAAACTCAGCTCTGGGAAGCGGAAAGCTAAACAGAAACTTAAGGGTAAAGTTTCTCCAGATAGCCGAGCGGGTCTAGCTCACCCCCGCCTCTACTCCACCCTCCCCTGTTCCTCTTTGCACCTCCCTAGAATTTGTCTGACTCTGCAGCAAGCTGTTCCAGCTTACCAGACCAGAGGAGAAGTAACTGACCCCCGACACAGCAGAGTAAATGGGTTTTTTGCCCATTTGGTGGAATGAATCTGCTGGTGGAATGATGATTAGTGGGGCTTATGCAGGGAAGCAGTCAGTCACTGGTGCTCAGCCAGGAGGGGGAAGGGAGGAGTGGGGCGACTAACAGCTGAGCTCTCGAAAGGGCTTGGCCGTTGCTATGGAAAGGTGGGAAACTTCTTAGCTTTGCCACAGGTACTCCCTCTGCTCCTGAGTAAGTAATGAAAATCATTGTACAACAGTCACCTGTGAGCACATACTACTCCTCTGCCAGCGTTAGACTGTTCCATAGCTTTAAGCTAAATGCTGGGATCTGCCTCCCTCGGGACTCACACGCTGGTCTTAACTGAAGCTTTGGGGCACTCTGTTCATACAAATTCGTAGTTGTTAGCAACCACAAATTACTCAAAGACAAAAAGAAAGAGACTATAGCACAGTCTGTTGCAGGACGTCCTATTCTTGTTTTGGCAGCACTGTTTTCTGATTAATTTATTCTGAAACAAAGCCTGTTTTTAATCTGGGTTTCAACATCTCTCCTTTCTGATTTTGAACCCAATGTCACTGAGAGCACATGAAAAGGGAAAGCAAAACTCAGAGTACCAATTACAACTTTGTTTCCTAAGTTGAAGTTCACAAACAGCCAAACACAAAAAATAAAAAAACTTAAAATCCCACTCCAATACTAGAATACTTAATTGAGGAGAAGAAAAGAAACATGTTTAATAGATTTTCAGCCTTTACTTTCAAGTGAATGACCTCTCCTTCTCCCTCAAACAACAAATTACCCCCCCTCCCCCAAGATGTTCCTGCCAAGTGTCATTTCTCTTGCTGTGTGGTATTATACCCAACACCAAGCATCAAATGAGCAAGTGAAATTCCTACCTTTCTTGTCTGAGCATTTAGAGGCTTGGCATGATCAGCTTCAGTTTCCTCCACATTGTCTTCTTGTAATTCAATAATCTCATGCTCCTGACCAGAGCTTTGCCTTTTCATAGCTTCTGTCTCTGCACGAGGATCTCTGTCTCTGAAGCAAGCGTGGAGGCAACTCATTTCCTGCTGGTTTCAGCTGTGGTTATGGTCAGTAGCAGTCCTGGTATGAGGCTGGAGATGGTAACATGCAGAGTTGGGACAGTTTTCACAGGAGTGATCTCAAAACGCTGATAAATAAGGGGAATTCCATGGGAGAACAAATAACCTCTCGTCTGCACTAGCTACAGGGAAACGGGAGGCGGAGGAAGTGTCGATTTGCCTTGTCGTCAGAATTGCCACTCTCAGCTATGCAATACCAGGCTTTCCAGTTTGTCTACCTTCCTGTACCTGCCCTTGACAAGCAGGTGACTAAACCTTCAGCAACGTTGTCATTTGCTGAGGCAATTTTGAAAGGAACCGAGCTGCAGTCCCTGCTGCTGTCAGCCGAAACAGTAAAATACCATTGCAGTAACCGCGCTGCGCAGCTAAGCAAACAGATGTGGTTCTGAACAGCTCAAATGGAGTGAGGGATCGCATAGCTTGTGGTGTGGTTAGGCTGTGAAGGGAACTGGTAATGTCCATCAACTCTTCTAACTTCAGTCTCCTGTATAACCTATAAAGAACACTACTAACTTTTGTGCCATGAATTGTCCACTCTCTAGTTGTTATGCAGCCTAAAATCATGTCTGGTGTTAAAGAACCATTTATGTCTATTCACATACTATCCAACCTAAACTTGAGAACCCACTTCCATGTAAAAAACAAAAGGACAAATCTGAAGAGGAAGATCGCCTTCAACTTCAACCCGTGCTCTACAGAGCATGCTTTTATGAAGCAACTCCCGATGTGAGTTGAGATCTGGTTGATACCAGCTTCCCACATGAACTCTCCCATGCTACTTAGAGTCACTCGTAAAAACTTATTGCAGCCAGGGGCTGATTCCTACCCACACCCCTCCAGTATCCTTCATCCTACCTCCTCTCACTTCTGTTCTGACTCCATCCTCATGTTTCTGCTTCTTCCCCACAGAGCATGTGTCTCCCTTCTGGATCAAAAAGGGTTGGGGGCAGACAGCCGGCAACTGCACTCTTGCTCACTCTTTTGTCCCAGCAGAGAGAGGACAGTGGGTTAACAGGAAAACAAAGCCTCTTTCTCCAACTCCCTTGCTCACTGGCTGAGCATCCACTCACAGTGCTGCTCCTTCTTTTTCCTGCCAAATGCTGAGCATGCTTTTCCTCTCCGCAGATTTTCTCATTGTGCAACTCATCTGGCTACTGATGCCTGGAGCATTCCCAGGGGCTCAGATTCCTGACGTCATGTCACAGCCATCCAGGCAAAGGCACTTCATCAAGCTGAGCACACGGCTTGGTTTCTTTCAGCAAGTAAGAAAAAAGTACAAATGGCATAGCCCACCTTTTTGTTCTGGAGAGTCAAAACTCCAGAGGACGGAGGATGAAATTGAGCAGTCATCAAGATCAAAACATGTGTCTTGTTCCACAAGATTGTACCTGGGACATTTTCACCAGAAAAGGCCTCTACCTGCTGGTTCTCAGTACTCCTGCTGGAGATGACCTTCGTTTATTTCGTTTCCACTCACAGTAAAAGACCTTACCTTCCTACTGCATTGCCTGAAAGCAAAACAGTTTTTCTAAGTCAAACAAGTTAATCATTATGCATCTCACCCTGCAAAAGCCAAAGTCCTTTTATTTACATCTGGGAAGGAGTTTCTTACAAAGTCTTGCATTTCTTTCATCTGAGTAATCCAACCTCCACACTTGGTTCCTTTCTTGCATGTGAACTAACTGACCCTTCTGACATATGGAACTGAGAAACTCTTAAAGAAAATGGGAAGTTAAGAACTGATTTTAATTTATTGGCCTAGGCTTTTATTTAATACAGAACAGCAGGAAAACTGTTTTCTTCTGTAGTGAAGACATCTCTGGTTTCAGTATAAGGAAAAGAAACTTGTGCCCTCAAATACATGCTTTAGTAAAATGGGCAAGTTAGGCTCAGCTTTACAAAGAGGAAACTCCGAGGTACAAATGTAGTTCTGCTTCCACCTGGGGATTAGAGTTTCAGAGGCACAATCAAATGAATATAACATAGTCAACAGCATTTTTAGCATGAGTTTATTAAAAAGGAGGGCGTGAATAACTGACTAGACTTTAAAGATACTAAACCCCCTAAAATATAGGCTTTGAATACAGGCTTATGTGATAAGTTTGACACAAGCATCATGGGGGGCTGGAAATGCCCAACACTGACGTGAGAAAGGGAAGGAAAGCCGTATCAATGTTAGATGCAGGAATCTCACTGCATGCGGGTTACAGTGCTAGCTCATTCCTGTTTTACTCACAGGCTGCCAAGGTGGGTCTAAAGCTAAACAAGGATCATGTATTTATGTACTGCAGAATAAAAGCATGCTGTGTGAACCGCAATGACTGGCATTCAAATTGCTAGCTTCACTTTTTTTTTCTTATACATTAAAGGGGAAAGCTAAACACTTTCAAATAGTGAGCACAATTTTAAGAGCCTCTAGAAAGACCATCTAGATCGTCTGAAGACTGTCTAGATAGATGTTTTATTAAACTGAATACCAGCATTCTTAAGGCCCATAACATCTTTGGAAACCTTAAATCAGCTACATTTGGGCTGATCAGCTCATCAGGCGATTATAAATATCAAAGCTAGATTTACTGCAAAGGTTAAAGTAATGCAGCTGTCATTTCCTCTTCTAATTTCTTTGACTGCAAGGATGTATCCAGCTACATAAATCCATTTTCATTTTATCCCTTTCAATGTCCCATGGGCACAGCCCTGGAAGAGGTACAAATCAAAAATCCTGACCCTGAAACTCTGCTTGCTGCAGACCAAGGACATCAGGAAAAGCAGTACAAACCAATCAGATGCATGCTAAATTTCACAAAGCATGCCAGAGCCAAAGCTGAGGAAATATACTTGTAACATGTGGCAAACATCAGACCTTACAACTACGTTCAATTTATAAAAAGAATATAAGAAAGCACCAAAGTTTCCTTTTGTCTGAATAATTAAAACTGAGTATTTCTTTCCTCTTATTGAAACATCACCCCAAAGAACCTCAGTGCTGTTCTTCCAGTCCTTTAATGAAAATGTCTTGCATCCTGATATTTGTGAGTTTTATATCTGATGTTTTTGGGGAAACACAGGAGACAGCCCAAAAGTTACAGCCCAGAAAGGAACAGTTGTGCAATGGCAGCATAAGTAGAGAACTGGTGAATTAATCTCAGCTTTGTACACTATACTGATCGTAGTTCTTGCATTTTTGAGAAACATGAAATAATTATTCATGTGTAGAATCCTGTAACATCACTAAGGTTATATATATGAGCTGAGTATATGCGGGGTGTGGCCATAAATATCCAGATATGTGTATGTGGAAACATATATAGAAATATACATAGCAAGAGAGATGGAAGGAGGGGAGTAGATTTGCAGAAGAAAGTTTTGGCTGGATTTTTGTTACAGGTTCTAATCCATTTTATGCTGTTTTTAAGGCAGTGCCATTTGTGCTGCTGGGGATAAGGAATCTGAAGTTGCTCTGAATCTGAACTGTTACTGCTAGGTGAACAAGAAATGATAGTTTCTTCATTAAGAAAGTGCACTACTTCACAAAGAAAAAGTCCACAGCATTTTCACTTTATAACATCAGAGACAGACATGATAGACTACTGTAGGAAGCAGCTTTCATAAGGGAGATGATCTGCATTTTGTCCTTGGCACATCAATTTATATTCTGACGAATCCAGTCATAGAGTGCTGTCACCTTAGTGTATACACCAGGACGATTGCGCCGAGCACATCCTTCACCCCAGCTCACAATGCCAGCAAGGTACCATCTATTTCCTTTTCCTGTGCAGGCCAAGGGACCTCCAGAATCTCCCTAAAATGAAGGGAGTTTGGCCATTAGTGCGCGCAAGATTACACACACAGAGCACTGTAACAAGCGTTAGGTTATTTAAAGACAGTAAATACCTGCCCGTCTCTCTTTCAAATTACAATTTACTGTTAGAATCTTATTTCTGGATAGAATTTAACCAGCTAGATGTCACATTTATTCAATTTATTTTAACTTATGGAAGTAACATACTAATCAATATAAAGCAATGGCAAGAAGTTGCTTAAAAAATTACTCGTTGATAATGATCCATTACAGGATTCATAAAGCAACTGGTCACAGGCTGAGTGGGGAGAGAAGAAGACAGGGATGGGAAGTGGGAATTCTGCAACCATTTGACCGTAAATTGTTCACAGATTGAGGCAGAACTTTTATAATCTGTATTAAATAGGAAGAGAAAAGTAGCACACATGCCCAACAACAACAAAAAAATCTATCAACCAAACAAAAAACCCACCAAAACCAATGAACAAACAAGCCAGGCACAATGGAGTATTATCAGCAGTTTCATAATCAAGACTGTGTTTACATTCATAAGAGGAGAGGAAGAACGAAGACTAAGGAACGTACAGATAAGAACTGGCTTCTCAAAGGGAACATGTAGCTCTGTACAGCAATGTAGAAAAGTAAAAATTCCCATTTAGTTCAGTTCACAGGATCAAAATGCATTTGGGCTCACAAATGCTTTGTGCCTTTCATTGTTTTAACCTTGTATGCTTTCTGTGAACTGGTCTGTTCACAGAATTCCAATCAGTTATGAATGCAACTCATCTCATGAGCTGTTCCTCATGCATTCAAGGCAGTTGGCAGCCTCCAAGTCGACCCTGAGGTTTGTTTGCTGCCCCCCGTTGAAGCTAAAACATTGAACAGGTCAGAAGAAAGCCACATATTGAGAAGAGTGTAACCATATAAAGTCTTCATCACCCAAACAACAAAATTATCTAGAGATAAGGAAAGAAGCCAGAACAGTTCTTCCTCTCTTTCAGGCTGCTGTCACATTGGCAATTTTGATAATCCAAGATCTCAAAATGACTTGAGAAAGCAGACTATATACTCTGGCCAATGCTACAGCCTGTTCTGAAAGACCGAAGGGGCAGTGTGCTGCTGGGCAGGAAGGATCCTAAAAAGAGGAGCCAAGATCAAAGGACATCCTAGAGCGATAAGAAAACAGAACCTGAAAGAATAACTGTTATATTTCTCACTGCAAGTATCACTTACTCTAAAGATGAAAAGCGTTTGGAAGCTCCACATAACCTGTGCAGTACATGCACAGCCTACGTGCCCATGAAGAAATGGCATAAATCAGGATGCCCACAAGTCTGGAACTGTACTAAAAGGGTTTCAAGGTGCTGTGGGGATTTCCTGAACTGCCAACATCGTTCCTCTCTAGCACTGCAGAGGAAATTTACTAGTGACTGAAAAGAAAGCAGTAGCAAAGATGCTACTCAGACTAAGAACTTCACGGCCCAGAGGGCCAGCATAATAGGACTCCAACATAGCATATTATATTAGAAACTGGATAAGGTATATAGCCAAATTGTTTTAAATCTCCATCTAAAAATTGAAGGGCATTTCTTAAGCAACACATTTCTTGGAGGAACATGACGCCTCTAAAACAACATGTTTTGCAAAACAATTCCAAGGTCTAAGGTTATACACAAACTGCACATAAAGTTAACAATAATTCTTTGAATTGAAAGTTAGAGACTGCAGGAAGATCTTGCAAATAGTCTATTGTGTATAAAGGAGTTTGACCCATTAAGAGATAAGATAATTTTTGCAAGATCATATTATATTAAAATAGTAAAATCTATACATTACATTCTGCTCTAAAATCAGTAACATATTTCTCTCCTTTTACACTGTAACTAGTATAATGACCTTGTTTATAATTTGGAAAGTCGATATTCATTATAATAAGTTTAAGTACTGATAAAGTAAACAACTAGTCTGACGACTGAGAAGGAAAAAGAAGGCAAAGTCAAGACAGTTAAAGCACTTCCAAAGAGCAGTTGCTGATTGTATGTACAAATAAACTAGGTCATAGAACTTGTAATACCATGATGTAATCGAAATTTATAATTATACAGGAATGAATATATGAAACTAAAAGGCAGTACTGCATCTGCATTTACCAAATCCAGCTTATCTTTGCCTTTTGCATTTCTTCGTAACAGTGACAACACATTACTCACCATATTGTTACAGTATTCTATTAATCCCACACCCAGACATCAAAAAATGAAAAAAATCAGTATGAACAGCAAAAATTACACATGGCTTGAACTTTACTCCGTTTACCCTTACATCTCTGTTCGTTCATAGGAATCTCTACTGTTAAAGAGGAAAAAGAATCCTTTTCAACACATTTTACCCCTTATCTTTACAAAGCAACATTTCTAAGAGACTCAGAGGTTATCTGTGCCAAATTTCCTTCCTTATGGAGAGCCTTAACTGCTGTATTAAATTAACCATACGCTCAAGACATATCACTTTATTACTAAGGAAAAAAAGCAAAACACAAACCCACAACTCTGAACAGCTTTCCAATGAAAATAAATACCAATTTGTAGTTTCTCTACAAGTTCCAGATTACCTGGCATGCATCAACACCACCATTAAGATTCCCAGCACACAGCATACGTGATGTGATAAGATCATCATAGAGCTTGTTGCAAACACTTTGGTTAATTATTCTTACTCGAGCTTCCTTCAGTGTTTCAGCAAGATGACCTAGAAAAAATACAAATAGTATTGCAAAGGTTTTGGTCATACATATTTCTAACAGAGATACCGCTTGTCAAAGCAAAAGAGAATTGCTCCAAACTCAAAATCTACTCAGCTGATGGTACTAGAGTAATTCCCTTCCCTTCAGTTTCTGCCTGCCCTCAGCTTTTGAAAGCTGTTTTCTATACCACCCTCTAGACACAGAGGTCCCTATGCACCACCTTTCCAATTGTATTGGCATAAGGTGTCATTGTGAATGAAACATCCTTAGTCGTGATTTGGCCCAACAGTGAAGACAACCATTTCAATACCTGGATGATCAGAAATGGTACTGGGTTTTGGTTTGTTTGCTCATTCGGCTCTGAGGGTGGGTTGGGAATGAAACAGGTAAGGTAGAAAAAAATAGGATTTTTGCATGCTATTATATTGGCTTTTAAATACCACCTACATCGTTTTGTTAAAAAGCAAGACATTGTAAGAAGGCGTAGATTGTAAAGCCATTTGCACTTCATTTATGTACTTCATATTATGTTATTATCTAAATTTAGCTATTTTGTTAAAAAGGCATATGAAGAAAGCCAGAATTACTATAGCATATGACTTCTGGTAAAACATGAGGAACTAGGTTTCAGTGCAATTGTGGGGACCACTGCAACGCTGAGGAGCTAAGCTTGAGTTTAAAAGCTGGCTCCTGTCTAAAGCAGAGACAGGGCCAAGATCTCGTGGGCTTCCCCACCGCCCCTTTCCACTTTGTTTGCTGTTTTCCTGCCTCCCCACTTCAGCACACTACTCCAAGCCGCACAGGCAGAGCTCTTCATCGGGCATACATTAGATTGTCTTTGGTTAAGACAGACAAAATAAAAGAACCTCCACAATATTTTTGCAATTATTGCTGTTCGTGGACCCATATTGTCAAGACACATTCTTTCTCTGCAAGACTTGCAAATTGCTGTTTTCTTTACCTGTGAGATTGTTTATGACCTATTTGCCAGATAAAAGGAGCCATGAGCATGAAAAAGGCACATTTTTCTAAATCTATGATCATTTGCTTTTCAGTGGTCTGTGACACCTAAGTATGCGTATTGGTAATCATCACCTGCCATTCAAACAAACATTCAGAATTCACAGACTGTACCTAAGGGGATGTTTTCTAGCTTTTTCTAGGCCTACTAAGTAAACCACGTGTATTTTCTCTTATGATTACAAATATTTTATTGTTAGAGTTTAAAATGAAGCTAAACTTGCAAGAAGTGTATGCAGGAAATGAACATACTCTTTTCTTTTATGGCTCCCCAGCCAGTTACATAGCAGACAGTTCCATAAACAAATACTCTAGAGGTGCTGGGTAAACAAATGGGCTGTACCAGCTCACTGAAGAATACAGGTGTCTCCATTTCCAACAGGGCAATGTCATAGTCTGAGATAGATTGGTCATACTGTGGGTGGACAATAATCCTTTTGATCGACCTCATAGCTACACGATTGCTCTTCTCCTTAATAGTATGTAAGCCCATATACGCTCTCCATCCTGAAGGAACGGAGTATCTGTAAAGAGAATGTTTTCAGAATGTCCCACTGGAAAGTCATGCAGTGTCAGTTCACTCCATTTTATCTGCTTTTCAGCATTTGAAGAGATTCATCAAAACCAATGTGAATGGAGTAGAATACCACCTAGGAAGATAGATGGACTATAGTCTCTGTCTACTAAAACATTAAGTAAAGGTTTTACATACCATTTTGAAAACTCTAACTTCCTGGAGCTATAAGACTAGTTCCTTGCAACGTACCATGCTTTTGAAGTCAGAAAATTGTATTAATAAACTCTATTTCTTCCTTGCCACACGTAGGAGGTATGTCTGTCTTTTCAATTTACACTACCTAAACTGAACATTGGTGAGTCTTACACTCCACTTATCAATAAATACTCCTTTTCTTGTGAGAAAAGGCCGTAGCTTCCACTCAGAAAATCCCTGCCTTCTAGAAAAAAATATGTTTACCCTAAATCTAACAAAATAGTGTGGTTTATCATGCAGAATTCACTGGCTATGGAGGCAAAATAATTGCTTCAGATACTTACAACTTTTGAAGCCAGCAGAATACAATATTGAGCGTTCATGCAGTGATACCATGTCACAGAGTTATATCCTGAATCAACTTATCTAGACAAGGAATAGCTCCTGCAGACTTTTGAAAACAACACTGTTAGGTTGTGAAACTTCAAATACTCTATGACAGTATAACTTCTTCATACCTTACAGAATCAGAATCCAGGAAGCAATGGGCAGCAGATAAGAGCCACCTATTAGAAATAACAGATGCCCCACATACATGGCCACGTGATCCCATCTGTAAACTCGCTTGCCAAGGCCACTTTCCAGATCGTGCATCTTCACCTCCAACAATTCTGTTTTTCTTAAGCAGGTGTCTTCCACAAGCTAATAGAAATAATTGAATAAAATAGTAACAAAAACCACAAAGTCATTTCACTTTTCTGTGCTTAAAATAGAAATTTTTAGCCATACGCCTCAAAGCTATTGGAAAAAAAAGTATTTTCTTACTGTGCAATTGGTAAAAAGATAAGGGTACTTGTTCATTTTCACTCAACTGGCAGGTCAGGAATAAACCAGTCATTTCCCATTCTCGCTTACAGCTTTGTAAAGAGGTCAGTAACTTAAAAAGACTTTTAAGCACAATACTAGGTTGGGTTGTTTCCAAAAGTTCGCTTGAATAAAATCTCATATCTTTTCCCTCCTTATATACTCCGCTCCTTGACTGTGTTTCATTCAGCTCAAACAAGCACTAACACCTACCAGCTTATCCTAGAAGTGTGCATTGCCCAAAATAAGTCATCATAGACAGAACAGATCAGTGGATTTAAAATGCAACGGTGCAAAATTCAAGGTAGACATTTTCATACAGATGTTTCCAGCAGATTCATTTTTTTTTAAATCACATCTGTTTCAATCAATTCTTAATCCAATAGTACTTGACCACAGCATAAATTCCTGACTCAGCTTCCCAAGTCATTATCTAATTTTTAAATAAATGTTACCACACCACAGTTCATTTCATCAGATCCATCTGCACAGTCTCTTTTCCCATCACACTCAGGATTTGATTTCAGCAAACATTTTCCATTGAGGCATTTGTATGCATAAGGGGAGCAACTTTTGTAGGCTGAAATAAGAAAGACAAGATAGTGTCACATGTTTGGAGCCCTGGTTTCAAAGTTTTAAAAAAAACTTGCACACTCAACCTACTCAGTTATGAAAATTGTTCAAAGCTACAAGTTCCAGTCTGGTTGGAGTCATTATCTGTACTGGTGTAAACTGGTCCTTCTGTGGAGATGGAAGGGGGGAGTGTTCCACTCTGATTAATGATCACACTAATTTCAGTCTCCACTGTCCATGAAAAGACAGAAAAGACTCCAATTATCCTCACTCCCATTTTACTTAACTCTAAACTGAGCAAGTTAGGTTTGTCAGATTTGTTGTTTTACCTTCACCAGCGCTACTCGCATCACAAATTCTAAATCTTGACAGCAGATACCATCTGGAAGTCCACTTTTTGTTTTTAAGTGAAAGCTGAGAAAACTGTGGAAGAGCTTGACACCTCCCATCAATCAATTTTTAGCTAAGGACTATCACAGTTTACTACGTGGGAATTCTGACAGATCTCACCAATAGACTTCCATTACTATCATTCTTATCATCAGTTGTTTACAGTGACATGTAAGCAGTGGACGGTATTTTTTTTTAAACAAATAAGAATGTGTTCCTGGCTACCTCAAGGACCAAAAATTCAAATCAAGGCAAAAAATCTAAAGGCAAAATGCAGCAAGTCACTAGGGAGACATTACTGCTACCAGTAATACTCGTAACCATGGTGGATCTACAGAAAGAGATCGTGCATGTGGTAAAGGGCAAAAGTCCCAAAGCTATTACGATGTCTCTGTCCCTTACATTATTTGGTACTGATCTGACAGCAACTGGGGAAAAAGTGCTTTTCTAACAGGATCACCAGCAAGTTGTGGTTAGGTCATCTAAGTAAAATTACTGTTATCTTGAATTTTGCTTCATTAATTTCTTGCCCTAAGGCTACCAATAACTAGTTATACTCTGCATGTTTTGTTTTCACTCTTCCAGAACTCGTACTTTGTGCTATGAAAAAATACATAGAAACACTACATTTATCCATTTAAATAAGAATATTCCTGCTTCTGCCTTCCACCCTCTTTTGGAAAATAGCTGAAGATACATACTTACAGCAGATGTTTTCATCACTATCCTCCGCACAGCTGTCATCATCTTTGCAAGTATTATACTGATGCTTACACTTCCCATCACCACATTTCAACTGTTCTGGATTACAACCTGAAGAAGAAAGGTCTGTGAATGCTTTATAATCCAAATAGATGGCTAGCAGGTATGTGCTACATTCTCTGCCAGAGGTCATCTTGATGTTCCTGCGTCATCTCTGCCAGACATCAGTCTACCTTCTTTTTGATAGCCTCCAGTGACAGAGAGACTTGTTGCATTATCTAACTTGTGCTGTGCTCCCTGACCTCTTTCTGGTATCTCTTCATTGTTCCCTATCTACTTCGATCTGCAGTGCCCAACTGGATACAGTATTCTAGCTGCAGCCTTCCCACTGGTGACTGGGAAGATCTTTTCAAACTCCTGTCTTACAACCTAGAACGACACTTTAAAAAAAAATAAAATAACAAAACACCAAAAAAACACAAAACACACAGAGAAAATTGTTTGACTTTGTGACTCTCAAGTCAGCTTTTGAGCCACTATAATCCCCCAGCCATTTTTCATCAGAAAAGCAACTTAGGCAATCCATACATTTATTTGATTACCTAAGTTCAGGTCTTTTCTTTATCGAATAGAATATCATTTTCTCCATATATATTCTCCAGCTTGTCAGGCTCATTTATAAATAAGTCCCTCTTTCTATCGTGTGACTCATTTGCTATTTCATAAGCATTTTCTCTAATCCACCACTTGGATCATTAACAAAAATTATGAGACAGATACTGGCAGAAGGACAACAAAAATATACTTCCGTTTGATAGTGAGTCATTGGCAGTCATTCTCTGGAAACATTTTTCTGTATTTTTTCTCACCGTGTTTCCTTTACTTACTGAGAAGTTTGCCACATAAGCCAATGTCAAAGCACAACTTCTCTATTTAACCTTTCATAGCAGAGAACTAAAACAAAATAAAAAACTCCATGCTGGCTTTTAATACCTTTTTCACTGTTTACAAGTAGTTTACTTTGACTATTTGTTTAATTTGGGGGGGGGGCTAAGTTTTACTTGTAGATTGTTGTAAAATTCCCTTCTGTATTTTTCCATTATCCCACTCTATAGAGCTGCATTACAGAACCTCTTCTATAGACTTTTAGATCTTCACCTACATTCTTCATTATGACCTTTAAGAGAGTCACTAGTATTTAAGAGATAATTTCAGCCAGTATCTAAACTTCCTAGAAAAAACTGTTTACAGGAGAACACAAGAGATTATTGCCCTACCGAAATCTAATTCATCATTACCATCTAAGCAGCCTTTCCAGCCTTCAGACTGATTGCGTGAATAACACATGTTCTACCTGCACATCTAAGGACAAGCCAGAAAAATAGGAAGTTATTGGCACTAGAAATGCTGTTGCAGTCTAGATGCATTAACGCAGGACTGTACCATGAAGAAATATTAAAATGGCTATTGAACACCAAAGCTAGTGTAATTTATAAACTAAATTGAATGTTTAAAAAGGAAATGCTATCTTACTTGGCATTATCTGCCAAAGATTTTTATCAAGCAGTCTGAATTAAACAAGTCAATATTCACCTAAATGGACTTAGAAAATTAAATTCACACTCACTGTCTCACTCTAAGGGTTCAAAGGGATTCAGCACAGATAGATAAGTGCTACCAATGACTGAACACCTCATCAATTTGTTAAGGTAATGTATTTTACACAGGAACATCTAAGGAGAGGAGAAGAAATAAAAAGTAGTCAAAACTAGGCATTCTCCTTAATATTAGAAATACAAATTTGCTGACATTAAAATGTTGTATAAATTCATCTCTGTGCTACTGTACTCCAACTTCATGTTTGACATGAAGTACTTTATCAAATACTTATCAAATCTAGCAATTTCATTATGAAACAACCTTTCACCAACAATTTCTTTCACTTTCACTTAAACTGACAACTAGTATCAATGTCAAGGTGTTTCTTTGCAATATATAAAAAATGTTTGTTCTTTTCCACTTTTTCAGATGTGCCACCAAAAATAAAATAAAACAAGAAAAGCCCAACATAATCTGTTTAAGAACAAGTAGTCAAAAGATCTCCTCTTCCTGTCCAAATCAAGTCAGCTTAAACTTTTTCCCCCTCTAGCACCACAGCAAATTAACAGCTAAATCAGATTGAAGGACCAAACACATTTGTCCCACATCAATTTAATCAGTTCCAATCTGGAGCCATTTAGTCCTCTTCACTGCCTTGCCTGTGACGCCAGGAAGGAAAACACACACGACCCAGCCAGCACTAGCTCCAAGCAGGAGTCTCTCTATGTTCTCCTCACCTTTGCCTGAAGTTATTCAGCTGATGGTTGGCATTTGCTTCCCAGGTCAATTCAGAGCAGCACCTCTGATTTTTAATAACATTGCTTTGGTGGCTCCCAGCAGTGAGAAGCAGCTAATCTGAGTTGGGTGACTGCAGCTACTAAAGATGTGGGAGAAAATGAATATATTTATCCCCCCTCCCTCTTACTATTGCTGTAGGCCAGGCTGTTGTGGAAGACCAGTGGTCTCAATACATTCTGCTCTCTCAGATAGCCCTCCACAAATGCCTTTACTGCATCAAATTGATACTGATACATCACAGCTAATCTACCCCTCCTGGTGAGTTTCAAGATTAAGATTGTGACTAAGGATTGATTACATGACTTTGAGCCATCTGCTTGTTGGCTCAGTGCTAGAAACAGAGCAGAGCACAGAAAGTAAAGGCTTGTACACACAATAAGGGCTGGGGATTTTCTCTGCGGAAAAAGGTATTCTTAGACTTTGAACTGTTTTTGAGGCAGTAACCAGGGTAACCACAGGACATGATATAGTTTGTAATTCTTTCCAGTAGGAGACACATATTGGTGGAAAAATAAATCCCTGAAGATGAGCCTATAGAATGACTGACTACAAAATCTGCCACTTCTTTCTAATGAAAGTATCCATATCAGAGACCTTAACACACAGATACTTCTAAGTGAGCAACAAACAGAACTGCACTCATTTGAGCAAGCTGAGGATCTGAAGAGGTTTCACAAACTGAACTGAGCTCTCAGAATCACAGGGAACTTTAGCTACCTAGACATTAATCAGGTAAAGGAAAGAATGCATTTACAATAAATAACTTGCAGATTTATTTTTTCTAAGAACTGTCAAAAGTAAATATGTGTATCTATCTCTTGAAAAGCCCTGTGCCACCCCTTGGAAGCCCCACCAAAATCTAACACTGGTCCAGAACTGCATCGGCTGGGGAGTCAGGAAAGGTCTAGAAGAAAGCCAGTCTTGTATCTGCAACACCTGCTAGCAAGGGGTCCTCACTGACTCCCAGTGAAAACTTAAATAGTTTGTCTAAACCTGGAACCTGATCCAGAGCGTGTTGGGTTGTGGTTTTAGAGAAGACTAACTATTCATGGTTACCTCCTGTGGCAGAAGAGTCATGCCTGGAGGCTTTCTGCCATACTGTTATCATGTTGCTATTTTAAGATGTTAGCAAAATGCCAAATAATTAGATCTACAGAAACTGGGAAATTTTACTTTTACTTCCCACTTTACAGAAGTGTTTTTAAGAGTTAGAAAACAAGTACTAGCTTCTAAATGCATCTTTTATCTAATTTTGTACATCTATTTGTTCAAGTAAATACATAATAACATTTTAAATATTTGTCTCGCAATTAGGTTAAGGAAAAAAGGCAGGTTGATTTGTGTGTGGTTTGTTTGTCAAGCACGGTTTCTCAAAGGTTTCTCTTTAGGAATTAAAGTATGTGCTTATTCACTTACGGTCCGTGTGACTGAAGGCTTTGTATTCCATGTAAAACCCTCTGTGGGTGACCAGTTCATCAGAATGAAAGTTGATTGCGACAGAATAACCATATTCTCTGTTTCTGTTGCTTTCTGAAAGAGCTTTACAGTATCTAGCCAGGCAAAAGTAAGAAGAATTAATTTCTGACCAAACTGACCACTACCATCCAGCTACCTTTCCCTTCACTGAAGGGTACCAATGCCAAAAAGCTTTAAAACAATATAATAAAGATCAGCTATTCTTCAGTGTTAAAAGAAGCCAACAGAAGTAATAGCAAGCCGATTTACAAATGCCTTCCACTCCACAACTTCTCTGGCAGTAGCAGACTTTGAAAAAAAAAACTACAGCAACATGAACAATGTCAGAATCTACCTTACAAATACAAATGTCTTCTAGGCATGCTTGATTTTAGATTTCCCTTTAGGTTTGCAAACCCAAAGGCTACAAACCCAGTAATGGAATCATACGGCCAAACCCAACAGTTGTTCTGAGTTTCAATACACTCTCGAGACACATTGTATTTTTGGGTTTGGTTGGGGGTTTTTCTGGGGGGTGGGAAGGGGGGACGTGGGTGGTGGTGGTGATGTTTGTCTGCTTTAAGCACAGACATTGCAATTTGTCTTACAGAAAACAATTACAATCACTGAAGAGTAAGTGGTATAGAAAATGAAACTTCAGATGTTGCAAGCTCTGTACCCATGTCAAGACTATTGCCAGGAATTTACCATCCAACTGCAGCTGAATAAAATGCTGTAGTTGTCTATGCCATTGCTCGTAAGGGGAACAACAAAGTAAGTAACTGCCTAACACCATGGAAAAAGCAGGACGCTTAAATTAACATAATGACAAATGTTCAGTACTAGGTCAGGATTAAGAACATTATTCTGCTGAAATTCAATGGAAGCATGCCAATTTTTGTTGAAATGTATCTTTCCGTAATGGAAGTAGTGAGACATTTTCTCTGAAGTACAGTATGTTGCGCAGAGCATCAAAGTGCAGATTTACATGTCAGAAAATAGTGTATTCACTCACCTAACTCCATCAATTTCTAACCAATCTTTATCACATTTACTGGACCCTGGAGACTTCTCTTGAATTTGTATCACGAGGATTTTTAATGAGAGCTTGTAGCCAGGTAAAGGTGCCTAAAAATCAAAGGATAAATATCCTGACACACACATCCACATAATGAAAAGCCTGTGCTTCTAAGATGGTAAACCTTTGTTATCAGATTGAAAATACTGTATTTTTAATTATGTAGATCAGCACCTTTGAAGAACAAAAAAAGCTGCTATTTTAAACACATATAGAAATAATTTTAGACCTGACTTTGGCCAGACTGTGCCAGATAAAGGAATGTAAGCCTTCCTGCAGCCAGCACAAAGCACTATATCTCAGGTTCATGCTGTGGGTGCACTGCCAAGTGTTCCAGTAGGTCAAATAAGAGATTTAAGATGTCTATGGCAGCTGGTCACTCAACTCCATTAGTTATGACCTCTCTGTTTTAAAAAGCATTTTTCTTCCCTTTCCTGCATATAGATGAGAGTTTTGTGCTACAATCTGCTAATAATTTCCACTGAACAGATAAAAGGTAGAGATTGCTACCAACTCATAGACATGAAGAGAATCATCATCCAAGGAAAGCCAAAACAGTAGTTAAATGCTTAATGGAGCAACAGATAAACACATCAGGAAGCTGGTGGAAATCATGAGGAGACTTTAAGTCTTGCCAAAGGGCTTGCTGGAAATCTGGAGCTGAATTTCTGAGGCAGATAAGGTCCTATTTCTGCAGAGTTCAGGGAAATACAGTATGGTATCCATCATACGAGGCGTGATTTACGTGACCATTTTTTCTTTCTGGCATAGCAGCAAAGACCTGACTACTAAAAATTTTCTCTAGCTTCTAGGACTTGTCATCTTACCCATTACATTTTTTCTGTCTTGAATAATACTCAAACTTTCAGAAGCTGGCAATGTTTCCCTCCCATAGCTGGTACTTGTACACAGGACAGGAAAGAAATGAGTGCCTGAGAAGAATTCAGGTGCAGTGGTCTTAGTATGTTTTCCTGCCATTTCACCCACATCGAAAAACATTTCTCCCAATTTTATGTCTATGTCACATAAAGCAAAGTCATCACTACTCAGATGAGTTCCCAGTACTTACTCTGATGATCCAGCTGCAGTCAATGTTTGGTGGGTAGTAACTTGGGTAATAAGGGGAACTCAGTGTCCCGTTCCAGGAAATATAATGACCACCACACACTGGGAGAGAAAGAAGTCAGCAAGGAACACAATTATCTCACGGGGCTTTAGTGCAAAGCCTGCTTCACTTGCTAGGACCCTTCTCTGTATACAGAGTTAGAAGAATGGGTTGTGACAGCATTAAACTCAGGTTTAGCCTGCATTAACAGAAAAATCGAGTAACTTCCACTTCCCCATCATGCTGAATTTCTCTTATTTTTGAATCAAATTACATTTAAGGATAAGTACTAAACACTTCTGACTGAAGTTTTTTTAAAAAAAACATTCTTTCATAGTAAGTGGAAGAAGCAATTACATGTGGACACAACAGACCTCCCCCTTCTAATTTACTTCTGACCTTTCTGCACACATTTTCAAAAATTAGAAAGTAACCAGCCCAGTGAAGTGAAACCTCTGATGAATTTCACGTAAACCAGGAAGTTTGTGTGTCAGTTCTCAGTCTAAAAATTCATGCCACATTTGAACAATATTTTTGAGGTGTTATTTTCCACCAAGAACTCTCCTAGACATCCAGTCCTTAGTGCTTTCTGTTCCCTTTAGGTAACATAGCAAATGCAAATATGACTATAACAGAAATTAAGACACTTTTGAAAACAGCAAAATTTTATGGCAATACCTTGGCTATACGTCACTTGGAGTGTCCGTCTGCAGAACAATGAAGCAATTCTAATTTTTAATGTGTGTGGGATGAGTATTTGCCTAAGCAGCATCCACAGAGACATAAGCCGAAATGTGTAATTTTTGGAGAAGTTTATCCCTTATGATTTGTTCCACAAGTGAAAAAATTGTCACTCAGTTAATTGTCAAAATTCTTTCACTTAGACCTTACCAAACAACTGTGGCTAAACTTTCACTTGTGAAGCCCTTGTATCTCCTGTAAAATACTACAGTTTATCATTATTCAAAATCTTTCACTAATTACAGAGAACTCCTGGCAAAATTCATCATAGTCCATAGGTTTGGAATATACTTCTCGGGTCTTGAATACACTTTTCTCATACAGTTGACTACACTGTACAACGCTTTCAGAAAAATGTCAAAGACATATTAGAAGTGTTTGCCCTTGTTTTCCATTTTCATTAGACACACATTCCCCAAGCTGGGAATAGAATCACAAAACTAATACAAGTGCTGTTTGGGGGCTGGGGCTGTCTAGCTTTGCCTAGATATCTAGTGCCCGTAGTGCTATCTGGCTGGCTGCGCTGCTACCACTGCTACTCATGTAGTAAGACTAATGTCTGGGAAGTATGGCTTGGGCAGTAATCAGGAAGACAAAAAAATCTCCCAGATCAAAGGACAGTCTCTATTCTGTGTTCAGTTCTCAGACTTTGAGACGTTGAGGGTTGGACTAGATGACCCACAGCGGTCCCTTCCAACCCCTACTATTCTGTGATTCTGTGATTCTGTGAAGTGGATCAAAATGACAATTCTCTGACTTACATGCCAATGTTCGACCCCCACCCCTCCCCCCCCGGTGCACTCTGGCAATATCAGCTTTTTTAGAGGCAACAACAGGAATAAGTGTGCTTACATCAGATGCTTGTTTTTATTAGTTACTTACTGAGTTTAGGAATGGCTTGAAAGTGAGCTTTTAATACGTGGCTTTCTTCTCTTCGGTCCAGTGAGAAGGTAAGCAGCATTACATTACTTGATGAAGTTAAACGTACAACAGGAGTAGTCCAGGCCCCAGGTCCACACCATCTGAAACATTACAAAAACTGCATTAAATAAAAATTCCCACACTCCAGTAATCTTTGCTGAGAAACTGGACAGAAGTAACACTGATCCGGTCATCAGTGTTTCAGAGGTATTCCCTTGGCTGCCACTTCCCTTTTAGTCTCCACTCATTTGATACTACATGGGATGCTAGAGTTTCCCAGCATCGAGGCTGAGTCATTCAGGGTCAACGTCACAGACATTCTTGCCTAATAGGTGCCCTGGAGTTTTCAGACCTGTAGAAGTATCAAAAAGGCAGTGCCAGTTTATGCTACTACAGTAGTGACAGTCGTACTGGGTAGTAGTGGGTAGCACTGAAAAGACAGCAAGTGCCAGTGCAGCACCTATGCACAGATCACAAACCCAAAGCATTTCCAATCTATTAACATTCAGCTTGGTTTCATGTCACAAGAGCTGTCACAAAAGACGTGGAGCCCCATGCAGGGCAACTATTTCTTCTTATTTTTCTCATTTTGTTTAAGTAATGAGGAGTTAATGTATATCCTGAAGCTTAAATACCATCACTTGTAATTTGAGATGCTGTTTCTTGCATCTTTTTACATTTAGTTCTTACATTTTTGCTTTTATATTTCTTCCATATTGAAATCCACATGATATTTTGGATTTCTTTTCATTAATTTACAAATCCGCATGTGAAAATTTTCTAACAGCTTTCTATTTTTCCATGCACAGCAAATTAAAACAATTAAGATCAGACCTCTCAGTAAGAACGTATTTCCATCACACCCCTGCATCAAGTTCTTTAACATGTCACTGAGATCGAGGGTGGCAGTATTAAAACAAATTTTTGAACCTTAAAATGAAAGTAGCCCTCTTCTGCTTGTAGCAGTCTATTCCCTGCTCCCATTTCATGTGAGACACTAGACAATGGATCTTTGATTTGCTTCTCTTTTGCAGACCTTATTAAATCCTTTTTATCATAATACCTGTCAATTCCTTTACAAAATGAACAATTTGAGTTCCCTCCCCACTGCCACATGGAAATTTTTTAGCACTTCTTCTTCTACCGAGTTGACAGCCTGGCTTGTCTTCTAGCTGTACATTTTGTCACAGTAGCATCAGAAAAGTAAGGCAAGAACATATGAGAAGAGTTGTCCACGTGAGACACCTACTTTCACAGCACCTCTCACAATCTCTGCTCGCTCACTCTTTAGTACTTGTCACTGAAGAGCTGTATTACTGCAGTTTACAGAAACTGATGAGAATCTTTTTAGTCACAGTGGGTGCTTCTAGAACTGGATGTCAAGGAATGATGCCTATAATACAATAATTCCTGGCCTTTATGGACATTGGAGATATTATTCTTAGTTTTACTGCATCTGTCTCAAGTATGTTACTAGCTGCTTTTAGCTTAGGTAGAAAACTAATACGCATACGCAAAAACACATCTTTGCTAGGCTGGCAATAAAAGTAACCTAAAAAGTTGACTTGTTGGAGGTACCATAGAGCTTTTAACATCGTTTTAGTCACCAAATTCTGTTCCAGTTCTTTGACAGACAGACATCAATGCACTTTCTTGAACTTTCGGTCTTACAGTTTACTGCAGTAATGTTCTCTGAATGTTACATCGTACACCTCTGTTGGTTTTGCCAGCTTCCAGGTGCTTCCTTGCATGTGAGCAGCTGCACTTCTGGTTCCTAAAAAGCTGAACGTTTGCTAACAACACACAACAGAGTAACAGTCCCATCAATAACCCATACTTAGCAGCAGAGCAGATGCAGCCCAGCATCAGGAACGGCATTCTCCATGCTACGCTGCCATCTGAGACTAACTCCTTACTAACACCCTGTGCTCATTCTGTGCCTGGCTTTCTCATAGTCTACCAACAATGGCAAGCTCTTGTACCTTGCTGCATAAGGAAAAAGACAAAAGTCTGTTAATAGAGCTGAAGAGGACTACCTACTCATTTGAAACAAGGTAAAGCACTACTAAATAAGTGCATTTCAGACACTTCTAACTGAATCTGCATGCTCATCTAATCTTTTCCTATAAGCTCTTAAAAAAAAAATTCCCCTCTTGAAACCATCCATCCTTAGAGTCTAAAAACTTATTTATTTATTTTGTTAATGAAGACAAGTTCATGGTGGATAACGTGTCCACACATGAAATCTGACTCTGGAAAGTGGGAGCAGTGTGGCCACTGAAGGTTACAAGATCTGATCTCACTTATGTAAATGGACTACACAGTGACTCGGGGGATGCAGCCTTTCCTAGACAACACCCTTGTTATGAACAAGGATTTGCCTGTAACTGGACATATGTTTTCTAAAAGTAATGGAATACAATAGTCTAAAAAAGATAAAGTCTGTGTCTTTCTGAGTTGTGACAGTAACTGCATGCAATTGAAACCAGTAAAAATTAGTCATAATGTAGAATAAAACCCACAGGAAATTATAATTCATTGGGGGGAGGGGAAATAATATGGAAGACCATTTTATTACAGCCTCATGCAAGATTTTTAATTAAGTTCTATTAGAGTCTTACATTTTGAAAGCCTGTTAGATGTAATTTTGATATCGCAACTGTTTCAGAGAGTTTCTGTACAGCTCAGTAAAACATCTTTGTTCTGTACTATCATACCTTGTAATGATCTTGTTCTGCAGAGGAAGAAGGAAATCATATGCTGATAAGTGGTGTGATGCACAGCTCTCTGGAGTAACACCATGCAAAGTGATAACTACCAGTCTCACCACATAGTTAGAAGGAACTCGCAGTCTCCATTGATAAAAAGACTTTTTGGGATTCATCAGAGTTAGAGTCCTGTTGTTACCTGGCTTGGCATACAGGTCAAAGGATACTGCTATACAAAAGAAGCTAGATCAGTGGCTGAAAAACTGTTATGTTGAAAGATAAATTAAGTTATCGGACAAAATTTCAGAAGAGGCAGCAACAATCACCTACCCACACTTCTTGGCTACTCTAATCTCCTCTTGCCTTACTTTTACAAGTCTATTCCCTTTTCCCTATCAGGCTGCTTCACCTTCTCCCCCTACTCTGGCCAAGGAACCACAACACCTCGCCACCACTGGCTCATCATACACTCAGCAAACAGCAGGGGACTTCGCTGCAACTGCCACCATCTCTGCTTGACCTACTGCTTTTCCTTTTGCCATTTTATCTTCACCTGTCCGTGCAATAAGAACAGTAAAAACATGAAGCAAATCTTGAGGTGCACTTAATATGGAGAAATCAGGCAAAGGGAATTAAAGCTCTACAGTATTTAACTGATCACTGACTATGAATAACCAAAATTATCTAGTCACAAGGCTAATAAATTATGCAAAATTTTATATGGTAGCTTTTTAAAAGATGCCAAGAAAAGCAGACACAGCTCATTGCAATTCAGTGGGAACTATTAAATTTCAACCATTCTAGTCAGAACATCAGAATAAAAGCTGCAAGGCATTTTCATATCACCCTTTATTGGAAGCGCAGGCCAGGGAGATCCCTGGTCTGATTTAGTTAGCAGGCCCTACAGGTACAAGAATAACTGGGAAACTGACATTTTTATGTACAGAGTTTTTTTTCCCCGAAGTGATATCAGTTGGGATTGAACAATTATTACCTGATTTTAGCATCACATCATATTCTGTGGAATCTGAAACTGAAATTTGACAACTATCAGCTACAAAAGCCAAAGACACAAACTAGAGAAAGGAAAATAGACAGAATAGGTATTAAATGACAGGTACATTGTTACCAAAAAGCTCCATTGTAACGAGATCAAAATCTTCCTCCCCAGAAGAACTGAACATGTGAGCTGCTTGTTTACTACTGATTTCCTTTTGTTCCACTGGGGTTAGTTTTTTAAGAGAAGCAACCATATCTTGTGGTGCCCAGAATGTATTCCAGTAGTAAGCTCGAAGTCCAGACTCTCCTTCACTGTAGAGGGACAAAAACCATCATAAATACACTCTAATTAGTAATTTGGACATGCTTTCCACTGGTCTGTATTTTTGGTTCTCACAGTTTCATAGCCAGCTGAACTGCTGTGCAAAATGTTGCAGCTGAACACAGAGGTAAAAACTCTCTTGATGAACAATTGCTTTTTCTGTACAGTAGAAACACCTCAAAAATATGCTGCTTAAACAGTAACACACTGAAGCTGAAAACTACACCTTATACAAAATCCTTGCAATATTTTTCTGGAATTGGATGTTTCCATCCCTGCTGCATAATTATACACTTCTAAGACCATATTACAGTTCTAGACACATTTTCCTTAACATTTTTAATTGAGTCTCACACCATATGACAATATAATTTTATGGCCATATGTTGATATATTTCACACAATTCTTATTAAAATAAATAACCTATATACATGCCTATATAAAAGTATTACTTAAGTGATTCAGAGATGCAGTCCATCACACTCTTCCTTTCAACATATCCTGTGAACTGACCATTCAGAAGTTTTCAAAGTCTGTCAGGATAGCAGTAGCCATCTGCTCAATTTATTTATGTTTCTCACTAGGGGCTCAAGTAGAGTGCCCTACCTAAAATTATACCTATAAGATTTATTTTGAGAAGTTAGAAAGGAACTTCATTTAAATAGACACAACCAAAATAAGATTCTGAGAGTGGCAGAGAAAAAACCCTGCTGAACTGTGATTTAAAAAATCAAAAGCAAATGAACAGACTACAAAGCAATCCATAAACCAAGGCATGATTAATTAGACTTCATTTCTCTCACCGTTTCTATGGGGCAAGACAGAAATCACACCATGAGCTTAGCTCTTAGCTCACATACTTAAGTGCATTTCTGCATTTTTGATTCCGTGTTATAGATATCTGCATGTTCTTCCAGCTAACTAATTTAAAATGCATGAAAAAAATAAGACAAACACAACTGAATATCTCAAATTCATACCACGTGCTGGAACAGAACTTACCTGAAAGCAGCCACTACAGACTTCAAGTAGTACTTTCCCAAGGAGCAAGACTCATATGATTCTGCAAACTGATAGTTAAGTAATGGCAAAAGAAAACATAAAAACAGTTACATGTTAGTGTAACTATAATCTGTTATGCTATAAAGTATTTGTCTTATTACTTCCTTCCCCCTTCCCATATTACAAGCAATACCCATCACAAAATAGATCAGATAAGGATCATAAATGTGCATTCATTTCCACTAAAAAAGATTACTTTGAAGTCACATCCCTTTTCAAGACCACCGACATAACTCTTCATAATTAGCAATGAAAAAAAAACCTTTATGAATACATTTATATTTTTGTTTCAGACTTTAAATTTCCGGCATATATTCTGGACATAGGCAACTTGTATTGGCTGTGCACAAAGGAGCTTTCAGACACTAGATAGCTCTTTTGGGAAATACAGTCTAACAGAGAACTGCTTTGTGTTTAAGACTGCTGTTCACATGTACCCAGGAAAAAGTATTGATCTCACAAATAGGAACCCACATAAGAAGTGCAAGAAAGCAAGCATTGTTGTGGGGGATAAGGGAAAACAAAACAAAACAAAAAGTTAAGCATTGAATTTGAGCTATAATTTAAAAAAAAAAAAAGATCTAAGAGAAAAATGCAGGAAGGAAGAGTGTTTGAGTAAAGTAACACAAAACAAAAAACCACACTCCTAATTTCTTTAGGAAGAATAATTTGTTCATAACCTTGAAATTCCCAGGTTTTATTACCTAGGAAATGTTGGCCTTACCATGAGACACACAGCCCCAGCTGCCTATTACTTTCCTAAAGCTGTACACCACCATGGCACTTGCTAGCTTTAAACTTGCTATTTTGAAGAAAAGAAGATATTGTGACTAACTGGAGTATTCTCCTCATTCCCAACCTGATTCTGTAATAAGTATTTTTATATTATTGCTGTACTTCTGTGGGAACTTACATAATTTTGGATTGCTTCTGCTTGCAGGAGGAATTTCTGTGACTTTGGATCGTTGAGGTCATTTGTATAAGTCAAATTAGGAATTTCTACACTTCCACCAATATAAATAAAGGAGAAAGCTGGAGCTGAGAAGATAAAGGATTAAAAAATTAAGACATTTAACAACATGATGGAAAAGCTTCTGGAACAAGAGGCTTGCGGAAGCATTTATTTGTCCTTGGCATCGGTAGGCGTTAGTTGTTAAGAGAAACACACAATAAAATCCAGAGCGCTGAGTCTGTCCCACTGATAGAATAGTGCCTGGAAGGGAAGGAGGGGGATGAAGTACAGGTTCAGACAGGCATTTGTGCTAGCAAGATTTACTTGTTAAAATTCCATTTTTTGCAGCACTATCCTCCTAGAGAGGTATGACTTTAATGGCTGTTAAGTTGTGATCTAGGAAGGAGTGTTAGATGTCTGTTCCATTTTGAAAAAGCTAATAGGAGATAGAGAGTTAATTCCTATAAGTTCTTGGGAAAGAGGACAGTTATAATAATGACGGTATCCACAAGCAGAGACATCAAAATCAGAAGTGAAGTACACACTTTTATTATTCTTGTGCAACTATCAGCCACCAATTATTCTGCATTTTGTTGCCTTAGCAAAGACATTAAGGAGAAGGGAAAGTCTCCTTCACACAAGGGTTACGCACTTAGCTGCTTAGTGCAGACCTTTTTGTACCAATCATTCACAAAGCGCAAAATACCAATTCCATCCAGACCATGCTGGGGAGTAACACTTACAGAACGTATAGTGCAGGAGTAGCACAATTCCGGTAACTGTTAAAGAAACTATAGGTAGTATTCCTAGAAGCTGTCTTCTCCAGAAACGCGACCTCACCCCTTTGAAGCAACAGTACTTCTGACACAAGCCTTCTCGGTAGCACGGGCAGTAGGGAATATGCGGACTTTCCTACAGAAAGACGTCGTTGAAAGGCATCAATTAGCAAGACAAAAAAAGAAGAGCTATTGTACCATATTCTAGTATATTTGTCCCTTTTCATTTTAAAAGAGATTTAAATAGAGATAATATCTTTCATGTTGTCAGCTATATCACACATATGAAAACCCACATATTTGTCGGCTGCTTGTTTGCGGCATGCATTTCAAGCTATCTAAGTATGGGGGAAAATTGCTATCACTTTGGTTAGGCGCTATTAGCATACAAAGAGCAGAGATCTATATGCACCAGAGTGGACAGAGAGATCATTTACTGTGTTCATGCTGTAAAGCTTGGCTGGTGTCTCTTACCTGCCCCGCAGTCTGCTCAGAGCCGTGTGGAGCTGGTATGGTGTACACAGAAACCCGGCTGGAGGGGAAAGCCCGTATCATGACGCCTTGACAAATGCCTTCTGACAAACCTAATGACTAGAAGTCCTAAATGAACCTCACTTCTTAAACATAACCCAGGACAGCGTACTGCTCTCCCTGCCACGCACTCCAGGCTTCTCTCATTTCACCTTTGCCATACTGCCTGAAGCTGGAGCCAGCTGATCTGCAATCAAAGGTGGGGAGGAAAATTTAACATCACTGTAACTCTTTGTTTCCCTAGCTGGCTAAGTAGGATATGGATCCCTTCATTCGAAAACAGATCAGCTCCCCACTTCTTTCAGGAATACAAGAAAAGGAAATAATTTATGACACAAAGAAAAGTACATGCAAGCAATTTACAGGTTAAAACGTCCCAGAGCAGGGTGACTGAGGCAACTTCTAATGAAGACCTGCTAGAATCCACACAAATATTTATGAGAGAGAAGAAATGCGCAATTCCACAGACCACCCGAATTTTCCACCCTCAAGCCGATACCACAGAATAAATCTAATTGTAAAGTAATTCATGTTCAGGTTTCCCATTTAGAATTAAAAACAGTTTTAAGTCAACAAGCCAACAAGCTCAGGGTATGCTGTGTGTAAAATAAGAAAATCAAGGATACGTGTGGGGAAATAACATTTCATACATAGGGAGGGAGAGGTAGAAACAGAGCGTAACATGCATAAAGAGCTAAACCTAGAAAAACAAAACAGACCCAAGAAACCTCAGCTCCAGAAAACAAAAAGGGAACAAACAAACCCCAACACCGATCACAATCACACGGAGACTACAAAAGGGATTAATTGGAAGGCATTCCTCACAGCTCAGGAACGAAAACTACAAGTGTAGACCGACTGCTTTGTTCAAGTCCTCTTTTTTTCAACAGCCTATCTCTGCTACACACACAACCTGCTGATTGACGGATACCTCGCCCCCCTCCTTCATGGAAAAGAAACACACAGAAAAAGCCTAGAGGAGATAAAACCTCTTTTACACAATCTCTAAAAATAATAACAGGATTTTTTAAAAAAATCTATACGGTCAGAGAACCTAATTCCACAGCAGTTTAAAATACCTCTCAGGTGGTAGAAGCATTGGTTTTATTTGGGAAGGACAAGATCTTTGCAATAAAACACATCACCATATTTGCTCTACTTATTAAGGTTTTCTGCAGATGAAGAAATCAAATGCTGAAGTGGATGAACTGGGAATAATCTTGAATATGAGGAAATTAAGGCAGGAATTAAAAGAGTTAGTAGCTCCAAGCCATGCAGTTAATTAAAAGGAAGTTGGAGAAGGAATAAGACTAATGCTTTCTTCCACGCTTAATCATACAACTTCTGATCTCCAGAGCTGAGGGCTCTATGGATTTGAGAGATTGAGCTCACTTTCTGCAGTCCCTCCTCTTCCTCTCTCTCATTCACAGTCGCTACTGTGTCTGGCCATACACATCTCAAAGGAAACGACTGAGTAAGACTAAAGCTGCGTCTGGAGCTGGTCAATTGTTTCTTCAGCTTCCCATTAGATGATTGCACCACGCACATAGCTGGTGCCTGGAAAATGAACGCAAAGTGCCAGAATTTTATTACTGCACCTCCTTCTGTGCCTCCAGACCTCTGGATAGAACAACCACCACAAGATCAGTCTCTTCCTCTTTCACCAAGGTTTGACAAAAGGACATTCTTCGCTTCCATAGGTGTACACCAGAATCAAATACTGAATCAGCAGTGAGACAAGCAAAGAAATTCCACCACTGAACTGTTTTACCAAATACGATTTTTAATGAAGATATCCAGGACAGGTTTTTTTCCAGCAAAACAGTTCTCAAGTTACAAGACTGAAGGCACATATTTGTGAATCCATGGTGCAAAATTTGCCACTTTTGTGTAGACACCAGGGAAATTTGGTCTTCCACATCCATAACCCCAGCTAACAATGCCAGTCAGAAACCACTTCCCATCTCCGTTGCTTTGACAAGACAATGGTCCACCGGAATCACCCTAAAAAGAATATATTGAGTTGTATGTGTTTACAATGCAGATTACTAAAACTGGGACAAAATTCCACAGAAGATATTTTGCCAGAGTAATTCCAAGAGTGATTAGATTTTCCCATTCACACAGTTCAAACCATCAGATAGTCAACAGGGTTTTTTTCTTGAAGCAGCTGGGATTGCACAGCTGTACCAAAATTTGCTCTTTCACAAGAGATAGGGCTAGCTCTCGCTCTTTAAAGATGATGATAATAATGACATTAAATTTCATGGACTAGGTTTAAAATTCACTATTAACTTCCTAGCCTCCAACTCACAGCTAACTCCAAAATCTGCTACTTAATATGCATGTCCATTTTAGGTTACACACCTAGAGGACTGCAAAAAATAGTAAGCTTTTTCAAAAACTTATAAGTTAAAATACAGTTATAGTATTTAATAATGATAACTTCTTTTGAATTAAAAGTAAATGGAAACAGATTGGTTCCCTCAATTGATTTGGTTGTTTTTTTTTTATATGAAGAAGGAAAAATCCTAATTGTTGTCCTCTAGAAGGCACAAGTCAGCAGGTAACGTTTAGGGGCACTCAATGTCTTTTTAATTAGGGTAGCTATAAATGAACTCTGTTATAGACTTCAAAGTTTTATACAGCGTGGTATAATTCCATACTACAGGACAACGCAAATAGTAGTCTTCCTTTATATGGTATTCTTGTAGAAATATAATAGCAGACATTCAGGAAAAAAAAAAGCGCCACCTTATTGGGACAATCTCTTGGACCAAGCTTATACTTTCTTGTAAGACTTTGCTGTAGACACAACCTCTCTGAAACAGACAGCCAGTAGCAAATTAAACTTCACCAAAGCACTGGATGCAATAAAGGGTTTCCAAAAGCCAAAGGTGAGTTGATTAAATTTAAATGTTTTGCAAGAGAAGTGTCTTCCTTCTTGGCATATATTTTGTTAGAGCTAGCAAAATATTTGCTTTAACTTTATCTAAGCAAAGCCACCTGCTGTTCAAAGCCGGATTATTTTAAATTGCCTCACAAAATTGGTAAAGATTTAACTTAGAAGATAACGTTTTCCATCCTTGGCAATTAAGATTTTGCATTTAGAGAGTCAAATTTTCAACTTTTTTTTTTTTTTTAATTGCTGGGACAAAAGAAAAGTGGAACATCAGCATTTTTCACAAAACAGAAATCCCACATTTTGATCAGCTTTAATCACCGCCAGTCTGTGTCACACATCATTTACCCTTACAGAAATGCATCCAAAAGACCTGTAAGCTGTGCCTTTCCTTGTCTATATCTTGAGTGGCCAGACAGATAACTGGAGAAAGAAATTCTCCAGTTAGTGAAAATGAGACTTAACATCAATGGTCTCACTAACCTCTAAAAACCAACCGGTGCATTTTACTCCCTCAGAAAGCCCTCAGACATTGCTTGCTCTGAGAGTCATTGTGGTCTCTCTCACTTTTATGTAGATCAGTGAAAGCTGGGACACCCTTAAGACTCCAGATCTCCATCATAAGAAATAAACAGCAGTCTTGCTACTATTTTAGCAATAAGTTTACTACTACTTTAGTAAGAAGTATATATGGCTTATATAAGTTCATTATATTATAATATTATATATTCTACAACTTACAAAATATAAAATAAGATATATAAATATATATATCTTGTGTTTGTATATAGTTTTATTACTATTCTCTAGAATTATTCAGAATTTTGCATTTATTATCTTTCAGCATTTCCTGATCAGATTCATTATACATTGGAAAATTTATGGCTAGTTGTCTGCATCTCATCATTAGCCCTGTAGTTCCAAGTTGGGAGGGTGGAATCCTGAAAAGAGACAAGTTTCAAGTTTGTCAGTTTTTCCTTCAGCTTGTACCAATATTTGCCTGACTTCAACTTGTTATCAGGACTTACAAACTGACTGGCCCTTGGCCTGCAACTGAAACTTTGTGATGCCATTTATATGCATAAAGCAGCAAAATGCTGAAAACACCCAGATGACGGATTTGCTGACAAAATCCTTACATTGCTGGTTTTCAGAACTGAAGTGTATGGACCACAAAGAGGTGTGCCAGTCAGTTCTTACACCTCATCACGTAACAAATGAAAGACAAGATAAACTCTATGCAAGGTGTGCTAAGATACATACTTTGCACCCATCTCTTTTCCCGGACATTAGTCCAGCACAAAACATTCTAGCTGTGATAATCCCATATGTGGAATGACATAACGTTTGGTCAATAATTTCTACCTCTGCTTTCTGAAGAATTGCTGAACCTTCATCATCTGGAAAATAAATCAAAAGAAGGATGAATCAGCAGAGGTTAGCATTTTATTCATCTATTGAAAGGCAAAATAAGAAGTCTTCAGAAAATATCCACAGGTACTTTTGACCTCCACGTTATTCCAGATTCCAAACAATGAACTGCAATAGCACAGAATATCTCTTAAGTGTCAGGCATTTATGTACTATGATCTTGGTCCTTTGGCCACAACAGATACAATGGCATAATCACTTGTGTTGGCCAAAAAACGGTTTTTCTAAAGCCTTTTGCAAAATGTCTCAGGATTTCTTCATTTGTTCTCTTTTTATTTTTAAAACGAAACAGGATTTCTCAAAAGAATTTGGTTCATCACAAGACAGTTTTGCAATTAGAGTAGTGAATCTGAAGGGGCTGGATCCAAAATCAGAAGCATGAGACAGAGTTATGGAATGCAAGTTGCTCTTTTGGCAGCATAAAGAGCTTGAACATATCTCAAATTTGGCCCTTTCCATCTGAAAACTTTGCTGAAAAACATCTTTTCTGTAAAATATACACTTCTGGAAAAACAGAAGTAAACTGAATCGTCCCCTCCTTTCAGTACAACTGATCTAATAAGATCACCAGGTAATCCTCTCAAAATCTGGATATAGCCAAAGAAACTTCACCAACATATTCAAATACGTAAATGCTGGTTTACATCACAAAACTTTGTTTCAGAGTTGGATAAAGCTGGTATGTAATAAAGTATACTTAAAAGACTGATTTGGCAATCAAGTTGTATAAACCAATGAAGGGAAAAGAGGAGAACAGGGAAAAGAAATCCCTCTCTTCTTTTTGAGGCATGACATTTATCTTTCAAATAAACAGCTTTTAAATCACACGGGTGTCTAACCAGTAGGCCAGAGAGAGACACTGCACCACAGCACACATCCGTATCGCCGTCCTTTCCTGGTAAGGGGACTGGCACTTGGTTCGCTACCATATATTCTTTCACTATAGCTAGTTGTAGAGATGCTAAATGTAAGTTGGCAGGTGGTAATTCTGGCTGCAAACATCAATCCAAAATGCTGGAGCCTGACTACCTGCTGCTGCCTCACACCGTGCATTTGCCTCTCCCACTTTCTGCCAAGAGCGGCGGGGCAGTGGGGCCAGCATGGTGCCGGCAGCCCCGAGAGGGCTGGCAAGGCCGCGGCAGGTCAGCCCCGCCGGTGCTGGCAGACCCAAGGCTTGGCGTGGTGGGCGGTACCTGGTTTACACTGCGGGGAG